AAATATGTGGATTGGGTTCACTTATGTTTTGGGTCTGATTTTGATTTTGCGTTTGCGGGGTTATGCTTCCCAGCGGAGCAAGTATTGTGGTGCACTAATTTTGTTCGATGGAATGTCTCACTGAACTAATGTTTTTTTAATGGCTGACCCTTCACTTTGGAATACTTAACCCCTTTCTAACTTCTGTTTTCTTTTAATATTCTAGCTTCGGTATTGTTCTCTGTGGCTGCTTATGCTTGTTTGAGCTACGTGCTTCTTTACCTATTGAATCACAACTTACGTGTGTGTTGAAAGCATCGTGCTCTGTTAGTTTATGTTGGGAATTTCATGTTTTTGCTTGGAATTAGGGAGAGTAGTCGAAAGAAACCTGATTCAAAGAAAAGGAGGATTTTCCTCCTCTTCCTTGGGTCCATGTTAATGTTATTTGGATCATGCTTGGTCCGTTTTGTGTAGTTTTATTCTTTTATTGTTTATTATCATTAAGACAAGAGTATAAACTTAGTCAAGTAAAATGGTTTGGGGGAAATTTAGTGACACTTTTTGACTTGATTTGATGATCATTTCCTTCACAGGAGCTGTCTGTCCTTTTGCCGTGCCAGATTTTAGTGTACTGTTATTGTGGCTTGTTTTTGTTATTAAATTTCAATTTTTTATTAACTTGTGAGTTTGTTGTTGACATTGTAGTTTTTGTTAATAGCTCTACATAATGCATGGATGGAAATTTTCATGCAATCTGATTACAAACAAAAATATTTTTCTTATTGACAAGCATATAGAAAATTTTGTCATAGAACTGAATTTTTAGGAAAACAAATTCTCTTATACCACTGTTTGTGAGAATGTATTGACATTTTGATTCTTTTTCCTAATTGCTAATGTTGAAAAAGGTTCGTTCATGTATTTTGGTCCTTGATCAAACCATACATATAACTCGGTATTAAAAAGTTGTTTTTATCCGTGATCAATTTTCCAACACTCAAACATTTCTATAGATGATTCACTTAAGTTTATACTTATTTTCTTTTCTTGCAGTTAGCACTTAATGTCCTGTTATTGTAGGGACGTAAGTCTTGCTAAACATGATATGTTCAAGGCTAAGTAGGAGAACTCATCCCTTGCCATATCTTAGGGCACTGCAAACCAACTCTCTTGAATCCAGGTTATACTATGTTGCACCAATTCCTATGGTTTTGTTATTTTTATCTCAGGTTATAGATTAATTTTCTAATGGTAATGGGGATTATTTGAAACATGTTTGTCATAGAATGAAATAAGTTATATTTTACTACTTAAGCATCCTTCTCAAACCAATTGTTCTCTCCAATTAGTTTTTGCCTCTCTAAAATCTGACTTCCAGAAAGAAATTAGTTTATACTTTAATCACTTATTTGTAGATGATTTTGTTTTTTATACAGATGCCTATCTATCCTTTCTAAAAGAACAAGTTACAGGTTCATTAATCCTAAAACCAGCTTCCAACACAATTTCTCTTGTAATATTCCGGTATCAAAGTTTAACCAAGAATTGTACCATCTGAGTTACCGTTCTTCAGCTCTTGCTTCACAGAATGTTGGAAAGTCATGTTCCATTCCTGGTTTGCGACACTTCTCATCTCATGCATCCAAAGAGCAGAAATCACAAAAAATGCTTTTATACTTGACGGGCTTAGTTTTTGCTATGGTTGGCTGCACGTATGCTGCAGTTCCCCTTTACAGGAGATTCTGCCAAGCCACTGGCTACGGGGGAACTGTCACCCGGCGTGAGGTGTGTCTGTGTTGGTTTTCAATGGCTTTGAATATTCATCAAAACTTGGTATTTTTTTCTTATTTTAACTGGTAATTATGAAATTTCACATTTTTACAGACGGTTGAAGAAAAGATTGCTCGACATGATAGCAATAATACAGTCTCCACAAGGTTTTATTTTTTTTTTTCTTATTGGATGTTACCTTTTTACCATCACTCATCATAGGATTAGTGTTTTCTTCAGGTTCATGGTTATTAGAAATAGCTGTTGAATTCCCCAGCACTTTTGAAAGAAAAAAAAAATCATCATTTCACTGTTCCTAATATGGTGGTTCAAATTATTGGAGCTGCTTTGTGTTCCTTCATTTATACTGGGAATATGTATGCGATAGTACTTAGACAAAAGACTAAGCAAAGGAAGGTTAAGATAAAAATATATTTATTCAGCTGTTGTACATGAAGATTTCTCCATAGAACTTGCCTATTATGTGTACCATAACAGTAGTACCTCTAGTGCTCTTTTGACATGTCATGGGAAATTGTATGTAATGGTTCAATAAGAGCTATGCTTATGAGGAATTATTCAATACTCCTCATTTTGGAAGCTAGCTTTTTTGCAGTCATAACTGATAATTTTTTTTTTTGTTCAGGGAAATAGTGGTGCAGTTCAATGCTGATGTTGCTGATGGGATGCAATGGAAGTTTATTCCCACACAGAGAGAGGTCAATATAACTTACCCTCTTGTACCTTAAAAAAAATATTGCTTTCCATCACACAGGATTTATTTACTTACATGTGAAAGTATTGTTTGTGATTGTGGTCAATTTATTTCCTGGAGCTGTTAGTTTTATTTATATTAGTCATCTAATTTAAGAATGGCAACTCAAAGAACTACTAATAACGAAGTCAAGTTAAAGTCTGAGCTTTTGTTTGAAAAGCCAGGTTATCATAGTTTAAATATGTGGGGTAGAAGTGGTATTTTTAAATCTAAATCTAGTTGTATGCTTACTTAAACACTTTCACATTTGCTGCGTTTGACTGCTCGATAGTGTTTCATGTCATTAAAAAAGTTGAATGTTGTAGTACACATCCCCTGG